TATGAACTGTTACAGAAAACACTGGAGAAACAGTAAATCTAGTAATTCTACCAACCTAGGCCATACTTCCTTTGCCTAAAACTCTAAGATATTCACTCTGAACCAGCCTCACTCCTGGCATCTTCTCACTCGTCTGTGGAAATCAATGAAGGTTCTAGTCCTCCAGCTGTCTCCCTATAGTCCTCTGTATCCTTCTAAGAAAAATAGTATAGTAATTTGGGAGAGTGGTAGAACGTATGGAAACCATGGTTGCACTCTTTGAAGAGCAAATGCAGGCATTTTCTTTATTCGCTCCTCCATAACATCAAAAGCCATAAGATTTAGATGTATTTATGTTCACACATTTCTCACAGTTACTTTTAACAGGCTTGTCCATAATCAGCGTATGCTTCCTGGTCTTTACTCTGAAGACGAGAAGTATTAGTAGGACAATTCCAATGCACACAGTGAAATACATCTTAATTGTGTGGACCGTGGACTGGGGATCTTGGAAATACTTACTATGTCTTCACCAAGAGTACTCTGAACATCTCAACCCTGAGAACCATTTACTTAAAAATAGAATACACTTTGGAATGGTCTATTTCTTTCAAAATTATGAGTAGACAAGTAATAAAAGGCTTATTGAAATGTTGAGCTGATGTCTTAGCTATTAAGAGTGTTCAAACACAAACCCCAATAAATTTGGGATTTACATATTTGTTCAAGTATGTATAAGTGAGTTTTAGGCTGTCAGTTTTTTTTTAATTTCAAAAAACTTGAGGTAGGAAAATGCTATTTTTCTTTCTCAAAAAATCTTGTTATAAAGCTTTTATTTTTAAGTTCTCTTTAGCCATTGTTGTTCTGGACTTGAAGCAATTAAACAATTGGGGCAGTTTATATCACAAATGTATTATTACAACAATAGCTGAAATTGATGTCCCTAATCATTTAAGCACTATGGTGATATTTGATATCTTTAAGGAGGAAACTGCTAGAGGTCACTTTTGTTAATTCTTTCTAGGTTGAAAGCAATGTTTTACTACTTATGGAGATGACCTGCCTCCAAAAACTCCATCACCAAGAGCCATGCAAGTATAGGGAATAGTGTAGAAACCTGGAACTCCACCAGGATTGGGCTGTAGCACACTCCTCTTCTACAATGCACTTTTCAGTCTAGAACTTTCCCACAGTATGCCTACACACCCTTTCATAAGAACGTACCCAGCAATCTAGTTCACCTACATGCACCAAGTTAGGCACACATCCCACTCTAAACATATATTTCTCATTCCTCTTAATGACCTGTTTTGGACTGTTTCTATCCAAAGGTATTCTTCAATTCTCTAGGTATAAGGCAGTAGAGCCAAGCCAGCCAGAACTAATTTTGAGCTCCTATTCAATAAGATGA